TAGTAATAAAATGAACTACTTAATCCGTGAAGAAATGATTAAAAACAAGTTATAAAAATTAAACCTCAATTGATTAAATTCTCCGCAAATCGTACGTATTTCATTGAAACATTTCTTTGGAAGAATAATAATTGGTGCTAGTCACTCATCATCATAATAGGTGGACACGCACCTCCACTCTTTCCCGTGCTGAGGTAATTTTGGAATTTTCCTAAAAAAAAAACATCCCACGTCCTTAACTATTTGTCAACAGTACTCTAATCTAGGTTTATCTCTAGTACTACTACTACTACTGGAATTTGTCAGAAATCGTGAAGAGATATTTGAATTGATTTATTTTCTAAATTCGAAAAAGGTTGTTAAAGGTGTAAGTTTGGAGCGCGGCGTTGTACGAGTGCGAAACATGGACAGTGGGCGCGGCGGAAAAGAAAAGGTTAGAAGCTTTCGAAATGTGGTGTTATAGGCGAATGATGAGGATAGCGTGGGTAGAAAAGGCTAGAAATGAAGAGGTATTAGAAAGAATAAGAGAACAGAGGATTCTATGGAAGTCAATAAAAAATAGGCGAGATGGCTTGGTAGGACACCTTCTCAAATATGAAGGTCTAATCTATGAAACATAGTGGAGGCAGAAACTGGAGTTAGGAGGGGTAGAGGCAGACCTAGGTTAGATTCGCAAATGCGAAGATTAGCTCAGGATAGGAAAGAGTGGAGGTACGTGTCCAACCAGTCTCAGGGCTGACGACCTGATGATGATGTATTGTTGGTTGCATACACGCGGAGGTCACGTGGCTATGCGTCATTTATAAAGGCACTGCACTAAAAACCCTTGACATTATTTGGACAAACTATCGTCAACTGGCCGCAGAAGCATTTTACTCCGTTTTATGCTCAATTGTGCGTTATGCGTTGTTTCGAAATGTCACATTCCTCTTTAGACTAATATATTTTTCCCTTGCGAACGATAGTTAATAAATTACACTTTCGCAAAAGATTCTCCGCGGTCCTTTATCGCCTGGTCAAATTGACGCTATTACCTCATAAAATACCATTACGTGGACAACTCGGATCGTCACCAAACGTCCCTTCCTTTGGTGTGAAAATCTCTCGCAACGCAACCGACACAAACCAACGTCCACGTCTGTGTGGAATGCTTCACACGTTTCTACGATTATTATTTAGATGACACGTGCAATGTTATCAGGTCCGGCCAGGCGTCATTCTCCCGAATAATTGCTGCATTAATCGGCCTTATCTCGATTAATAACCGTGTTGTTTGTCAGGTCGACAGTTCCAGTCGATTGGACCATAAAATCGTCGATTCTCTACTCTTTTCGACGAGGACAAGTATGTGGCGTTACTTCCACTTTCGCACAACGGTGAAAAATGATTTGTCGAATTACCAGAGATGGAAAGATTAATCTTGTAGATAGCCATGACGACATTCGCGACGCTCATGTTGCCTTTAAGCCTTTCTTACCGTAACCTACCAAAGCCTGTTGTACAGAGTGTAATAGAAATAATAGGTGAGCTTGTATGAGGTGATAGAGTACTATAAACCATGAGAATTTAGTAAATTGTTGCATGTCCGAAATTTTATCGTTCTCAAAAAAAAAACGTAGTTGGAAGTACAGATAAATTTAATTCCGGACCTGCTGAAAAAATACGACCCGCAACGCTGCACTCAATCAACTGGTTATTACCAACATCAGCGCAGTGTTTGTTTTGTATTCTTTTTCTCATGTATTCTTTATTTGTTAGATTAAATTAAGTGTGATTCAAGGTGTTTATGATAACAGCCAACATCCGTTTATTCTTTTAGCGTTTAAACCTTGTATAAGGCAATCGATGTGCAGTTCAGTCACTGTAAAACAGTTGTTACAATAATATGACATGATACTTATTTATAGCTTTGAACCATATCGCCTCTGTAGGGACGAAATCCGCGATTTCAAAGAAGACAATCCCCGAAATAGTACACGCTAAATTGCAGAGAATGGTGGCTCCTATTATGTGACTTGACAAATTTTAAAGGAACAGTTGCTGCATCCTTATCATTTGCAGCGGGCGTTCGAAAGAAAAGTGCTTCGTAACGTAATCTTTTCCATATCAGGGTGTTGTTTACAGACAAATTTGCTTCACGAGGGACGGAATTTTGAATTTTCAGAATAATCACTATCGTTGCGATGCAAATTCGCATGTCGTACATTCTACGGTAAATATGTGATGCGAAATTTTTTGAGACTTATTTGACTTTATTAATAAGTTTCGATACAACCCCTCGTAAAAAGGTAAAACACCTTGGCAATACTTCAGTGATGGTTTGGAAATTTGCCTTAATAGAATTATATTTGTCCAGATGATGCTGATTTATCGACTAATGTTTACGTAACTTTACATTTTTTCTTTCTTTTGTGTTCATACATTTACATAGTGCTGCCTGTAATGTACTTATTATTTAGTCTAAACGTTATGTATAGTGCTAAACTGCTTATGTTTATCTTAGACCTTCGATTATCGACATGGTTTACATTCTCCATCCATGCAGCTGCAGATTTTTACCACACAACACTATTCGGTAGACACCTATGTTACCAATTCACGCACAGGACCGGCCTCGTGTTGTAAATTATTGTAATTTTCTTTAAAAAAAATTGCCTTTACCAATTTTGCTGAACTCACCGTGCTATTGTTTATTGCATCTAGTTTAAAATCTCCAAAGCTCGGCACTTATTTCTTTTACGCCCTGTATATTAATGTTTTGCGTCATGAATTTTATTTTTTCTTTCGATTTTTTATAGCTAAATTCATTTTTACCTGTCATTAGTAAAAGCAATTGAAATGGTTTCAGTCGTTTGCTTAATGAAACGTTTTTATCGACTAGTACCCATTTATTGTCCACAGAATTATTTTCACCTATTAACTATTACAATTTTGTCCACGCTAAACCAATCAGACGGCCGATTATCAATATATTCCTTCTGTCTTACTATCTGTTTGACTAATAAAATGAATGCAGTGTGAAGTTGGCTAATCGCCAATTAAATTTACTAAACCTAGCGTTTAGAAATCTTACACGGTAAAGCACATGCTTCCCTTCTGTCAAAATAGACGACGGTCTTCCGATATGTCTTACATGTCACTGATTGACCTGTAAGGACCGTTGACCAATGAGCTCGGTTACTTTTGACTGAGGTTAATTTCCTTAAGTGTATTCCAAGTGTACATTGACCGAAGACGTTGCAAGTGTGATTAAACTGTAATGTCATAGAATGCGCCAACTGGGTGTAACCTCTCGCAAAAGGATTTACAGGACAAATTGAAACAAGTTGAGTTTGTACAAGATCCCATTATATATTTACTCATTCTTAATACAAAACATTTTCTCAACATCAGATTGTTAAAAACTCAGTCGTCTATGTTTGGAATGGATAGATACTAAGTATTTTAGGTGTAAAAAACGGGTATCTTCAATATTATTCTACTTTGATGCAACTGTATTGTAATGTTCGTGGGTTTAACAAACTAACTCTTAAGACTCACAACGACAAAAACTATTTATTTACACTAATTATTATTAAAGGACTTAAAAA